CCATCTTCAGGGCTCCATGATCATCGTTGTCACCGGCATGACACCATGATCTCCATCATCATGATCTCCATCATCGTGTCTTCTTGAAGTTGTCTCGTCATCTATTACTTCTACTACTATGGCTAATGCTTTAGCAATAAAGTAAAGTAATTACATGACGTTTATGTTGACACGCAGGTCATAAATAAATTAAGACAACTCCTATGGCTCCTGCCGGTTGTCATACTCATCGACATGCAAGTCGTGATTCCTATTACAAGAACATGATCAATCTCATACATCACATATATCATTCATCACATCCTTTTGGCCATATCACATCACAAGGCATATGCTGCAAAAACAAGTTAGGCGTCCTCTAATTGTTGTTGCAAGTTTTTTTTTACGTGGCTGCTATAGATTTCTAGCAAGAACGTTTCTTACCTACGCGAAAACCACAACGTGATATGCCAATTTCTATTTACCCTTCATAAGGACCCTTTTCATCGAATCCGATACGACTAAAGTGGGAGAGACAGACACCCGCTAGCCACCTTGTGCAACTAGTGCATGTCAGTCGGTGGAACCAGTCTCACGTAAGAGTACGTGTAAGGTCGGTCCGGGCCGCTTCATCCCACGATGCCGCCGAATCAAGATAAGAGTAGTAACGGCAAGAAAATTGACAAAATCGACGCCCACAACAACTTGTGTTCTACTCGTGCATAGAAACTACGCATAGACCTAGCTCATGATGCCACTGTTGGGGAACATAGCAGAAATTCAAAATTTTCTACGCATCACCAAGATCAATCTATGGAGTAATCTAGCAACGAGGGGAAGGAGAGTGCATCTACATACCCTTGTAGATCGCTAAGCGGAAGCGTTCAAGTGAAAGGGGTTGATGGAGTCGTACTCATCGTGATCCAAATCACCGATGATCCTAGTGCCGAACGGACGGCACCTCCGTGTTCAACACACGTACAGCTCGGTGACGTCTCCTACGCCTTGATCCAGCAAGGGGAGGAGGAGAGGTTGGGGAAGACTCCATCCAGCAGCAACACGATGGCGTGGTGGTGGTGGAGGAGCGTGGTACTCCAGCAGGGCTTCGCCAAGCACCGCAAGAGACGAGGAGGGAGAGGGGTAGGGCTGCGCCAAGAAGGAGATTGAAAATTGTCTCTATGGCAGCCCAAAACCTCAAGTATATATAGGGGGAGGGGAGGGGCTGCGCCCCCACCTAGGTTTCCACCCCTAGGGGTGGCGGCCAGCCCTAGATCCCATCTAGGGGGCGGCCAAGGGGGGAGAGAGGGGGGCGCACCACTAGGTGGGCCTTAGGCCCATCTGAGCCTAGGGTTTGCCCCCTTCCACTCTCCCTTGCGCCTTGGGCCTTGGTGGGGGGTGCACCAGCCCACCTGGGGCTGGTCCCCTCCCACACTTGGCCCATGCAGCCCTGCGGGGCTGGTGGCCCCACTTGGTGGACCACCGAGACCCTCCCGGTGGTCCCGGTACATTACCGATAAACCCAAAACTTTTCCGGCGACCAAAACAGGACTTCCCATATATAAATCTTTACCTCCGGACCATTCCGGAACTCCTCGTGACATCCGGGATCTCATCCGGGACTCCGAACAACATTCGGTAACCATGTATATCTATTCCCTATAACCCTAGCGTCATCGAACCTTAAGTGTGTAGACCCTACGGGTTCAGGAGTCATGCAAACATGGCCGAGACAACTCTCCGGTCAATAACCAACAGCGGGATCTGGATACCCATGTTGGCTCCCACATGATCCACGATGATCTCATCGGATGAACCACGATGTCAAGGACTAAATCAATCCCGTATACAATTCCCTTTGTCTATCGGTATGATACTTGCCCGAGATTCGATCGTCGGTATCCCGATACCTTGTTCAATCTCGTCACCGGCAAGTCTCTTTACTCGTTCCGTAACACATCATCCCATGATCAACTCCTTGATCACATTGTGCACATTGTGATGATGTCCTACCGAGTGGGCCCAGAGATACCTCTCCGTTTACACGGAGTGACAAATCCCAGTCTCGATTCGTGCCAACCCAACAGATACTTTCGGAGATACCTGTAGTGTACCTTTATAGCCACCCAGTTACGTTGTGACGTTTCGCACACCCAAAGCACTCATACGGTATCCGGGAGTTACACAATCTCATGGTCTAAGGAAATGATACTTGACATTAGAAAAGCTTTAGCATACGAACTACACGATCTTTGTGCTAGGCTTAGGATTGGGTCTTGTCTATCACATCATTCTCCTAATGATGTGATCCCGTTATCAACGACATACAATGTCCATGGTCAGGAAACCGTAACCATCTATTGATCAACGAGCTAGTTAACTAGAGGCTTACTAGGGCCATGGTGTTGTCTATGTATCCACACATGTATCTGAGTTTCCTATCAATACAATTCTAGCATGGATAATAAACGATTATCATGAACAATGAAATATATACAATAATAAATAATTTATTATTGCCTCTAGGGCATATTTCCAACACCTCTCTCTCGCCGTCTCCACCTCTCTCTCGCCGTCTCCAGTTCATGACACCCATCGCCGAGCGCTTCCCAGGTGACGGCGCGGCGGCGAACGGATTCGGCCGCCGCCATCTCCACGAGAACGAGGCTCGCCTCCTTTTCGAGGCCAAGTACCCGGTCCCGCCGGACATGCGGGTGCTCGGGGCGTGGAGGATCAGCGCCGGCGGCGTGCCGGTGCCTCCGATACCCACCGGCGCGGCAGGGCGTGCGGAGATCGCACGCATCCGCTCGTCCCTGCCGCGTGTGGTGTGGGAGGGGCCACGGTACGTCCCCGACAGCCCGCTCTGGGAGCCTTATTTTCGCCGCCGTCACGCCGAGCAGCTTGAGGCCACCAACGGCGTCGAGCCCTCCGGTAGGCTCAACACCGTCGGTCGGCGTCGGTGGTGGGGCGTGCCCGGGCACATGTTGGAGGCCCTCCTCGAGTACATCAAGGGCGGCAACATGCCGCGCCTCGAGTACCCCGCTCCCCCGTCCTTCCCACGCCGCCGGGGAAGCTCCTGGACCCCGAGGTACATGGAGACCGGGGGGTCCACCTCTTCGTCCGGTGGCTCCCCCTGCCTCCACCTCCGCCCCGTCAAGCCGGAGCCCTAGGGCACGCCTGTCAGCGCGCGCACCCACAGCTCCGGTGTCCGCATCGGCGACAACGCCTCCCCCACCGGCCGCTTCGTCCTCGTCGAGCCCAAGCCGGAGCCCGGCCTCCCCGCGGAGTACAAGGAGGTAGCCCGGCGTGGCTTCTTCGACGAGGACGCCCTGCGGTGGGCGCGGGACGACTACCTCCGCGACGACATGGTCCGGCAGCGCCGGGCCCTGGAGGAGATCGCTGCCCGCAAGCGCAGGCGCAAGGACGAGCACGGTGTCGTGGTCCTCGACAGCGACGACAACGACGACGCCCCCGGACCGTCCAACCCGCCGCGCCAACCGGGGAAGGGATGCAGCAGGGACGGCAGAGGCGTCGGCGGGGGCGACGACGACGATGACGGTGGTGACTACACGTGATTCTACAGCCTCCTCGGCATGTAGAACCACGTGGGCGGGCGGCGAGGCGGGCGGCGAGGGAGACGACGAGGGTAGCCCGCGGTAGTTTTTTTTCTTTTTTTGTAAAATATGTTTAAATTTGAACGAACTCGCCCGATTTTGCGTTGTGTTTGCACCGAATTTAAACATTTTAAAAACCCGTGGGGGCCGCGACTGGGGGGCATCACGCCCCCAATGCGCGGTTTAGCGCCGGTGCGCCCCCAGGGGCGATTTTTTGCCCCTCCTGGGGGGCCAACGGCTAGAGATGCCCTCACCCACTCCCCTCCCTTCCCTCTCCCCCACAGCCGGTGACCTCATCAACCACGGCCGCCGCCCCTTCTCATCCCTTCCCCTCCACACACCCGACGGCAATCAGGTGAGAGCTTGTTGAGGCTCCGTCGTCTCCCACCGCCGCTCCATCCCATACCCTTCCCTCCCACTCACGAGACCCGGGGCTTCCACATCACCGTCGTCGTGCGTCATGGACGAGGTCTAGTGCTCGGCCGGCATGGCCGCCCCGAGGGTGACCGCCGCGGCCCGGCACCTGTCGTCCTCATCGCGCAGCTTGGGAGGGTCGCGGCTGGCGCCTGTCGTCCTCGACCGTGGCCAGCTGGTTCAGCAGGAGCGACAGGGGGAGCGGGTGGTCGGAGCAGCAGGGGGTGGTGGAGTGCGTAGGCAACGAGATGATGAGAAGGACAGGGACCCCGCGGCGGAGCAGCAGCGGCTGGGGGAGCAGCGCAGCTTACCACTTCGCCGCCTTCGCTATCGTGCAAGCCAGGCCAGGTGAGTTTGGATATATCACCGTGGGGGAATTTTGTCAGGGGCAAATCATTAAGTTTCTAGCAAACTTGTGTCAAATATTTAGTTTCGCAAGTATTTGTCTAATATGTGCGCTGCATCATTTTAGTTTTCCAGTGAATCCTGATTGTCAGTGTCAAAACTCTTGTTGCCGTCCAATATTCAAGTTGAATATTCCCAAAGATTATATGTCACACAGACAGAGCCCAACTTCTAGGCATGTGCACTTGTTGAGAACTTACACAAGTTAGGAAACATGCAGGTTAGGCCATCCTATCAATTGACCTGTCCCTCGAATTTTTCCGAGTTAAGCACACTTGATGCCATCTAGTCAGGGATCAGTCTGTACCATCTGAAACTCACAATGAAACATCGTGTTTTTATTCAGTACCTACTCCCATGATAAAAAAAATTATGAGGATTGTGCAAGTTAGGTTCTGTGTCAGCATGTGACATGTCTTGACTGTTGTAGGAGTACAAGTGTGCCAGTGTGCGCCAATGATATATCTTTTTCATATCAAGTTCATATCATTGAGACTATGAACTACATAGTCTTAAGTGTCTTTATTACTCTCAGAATTGCTTGGGCAGGAGCTTAAGTTTGTTTTGTCGACATCAACTAACAAGTATATTATGGTCTCTCTTTATTTCAGCTACATGAATCTAGTGTTGATCGTGCAGCTTTTGTGGAGTTTGTGCTTGGCTTGTCAAGATATATTTTCTCTGAGGAATAACAGGGATCTTCATGCCCCGGATTTTCTATTGTTCTTTGTTATAATTGATTGGGTAAGTCGTGCACTTTGTCACTGCTATTGTCCATGCAGCTGTGCCTGAATTATCTGAAGGCATGCACTGAAACAACTGAACCCAATATTTTTTATCAACATTAATTAGTTCTTAGGAAAAAATTGAAATTCAGGAAAACTGCAAGTCATGCTTCTCTATTGGCCAAGCTTTTGTTTTGCCTCCCTGTATGAGAATAAGGCAGCCTTAAATAGACTTGCTGTTATGGGTGCTTTGCATTACTTCTTGGTTGACCAACGGTATGTGGGTGATCACATCACTTGTGAACGCATTGTAGGTCATGGCGATTCTCATGTTCTCTGGATTCTATGCCTCTGCCAGCGTGACGATTTTCTTCATGAAGGATATGAACTTCTGCGCGGAATACCGGCGTCTAGACTGCAGTCAGTTCACACTTTCAGTCACTCTGGCGTTCTTTACATGGTTGTTGCAAGCTGCGTCTTCTTTCTCTGGGTTCTGGCTACTAATTTCATTCTTCTAGTGATCTCTCTCATGCGCTCATAAGCACCGTTAGCGTCGTGCTAATTGTCGGTCAGGAGGGTAAATCAGTTGCAATGTGCTCGGGCACCCATTATACATCACTTGTTACATATATTGTCTGTTTGATTCATAGCTCATCTTCAGTTTAGGTGTTGGTTATGAGCGCCTTGAGGTGGAACAGTTACATGTGGGAATATTATGTCTTGTTAGTTTCGCAAGTTTGTGATTTGATGGTTGGCTCGGTCATTTAGTTATATCCAGAGCTTGCTACTGAAGTTCCTTCCAGCCAACACTAATTGGTTTCTTTCTGAATAGCTTTGGCATCTCTTGATTATGGTAGTTATTAGATTATGTACTTTAGTTGTAGGTTGTACTGAATGTAAAGGAATAATTGAAAAGAACCTGGTTAGTATAACTTTATAGGCTTTCTTGTTGCTTTTCTGGGTGAACAAGAAATTGATCACGATTTGTCTGGGTGAACAATATATTCAGAACTGCAAATACTCCTACTGCAAACAAAATTCAGTAAATTTCAGTGCATCTACTGCAAACTAAATTCACCCAGACAAGAGTTGTGATGGCAATTTATGAGTAAAACTGCTTGAACTAAACTGCTTGTCTACTGCTTGCTCTAAAAACTGCTTGTCTACCGCTTGCTCTAAAAACTGCTTGTCTACTGCTTGCTCTAAAAACTGCTTGTCTACCGCTTGCTCTAAAAACTGCTTGTCTACTGCTTTGACATGTTTTAGATTTCAGTACATATGTACATGTGTGTGGTGAGCTTCATGACTGAATTTTGCATTGTGCTTACAAGTCATTAGAGTCATCTAATGCCAAATAATCTTTGTAGATAACAGAGGTCGATCATGTGACTATATCTTCATGACTTAGAGACACTACAAGTCCTTAGAGTCATCTAAGCCAATATTTATTTTGTTAATCTTTTCCCAAGGATGAGTTTTTGTGGTGGAAGTTGGATGGGGGGTCCATCAGGTGCACCTATGCTGACAGAGGTTCATCATGTTGTGGTGGAAGTTTGCTTGGCTATGAAAATAGTTTGCTTGGCTATGCAGCCTAAAATGTGTGATGAATCTATGTTTCTTCAGTTGCAGCCCACCTAATAGGACTGCTTGATTAAATCTACAATCAATTGTAGTATACCTGAAGAAAACATGATCATAATCTAATAACTATTATACTTTTAGAGAAGAGACAGAACCTAGAGGAACTCGCCTTCTTGATGCTCCTAGCTTACGCAAGGTACTCCTCGGGAATTTTTCCTCCAGGTCTGGCTAATTTGATCCTGTGCTATCAGTGATGGGCGAAGGGAGAGCAAGGAGGGGGAGGAGGGGTGGCGGTAACATATATAGGTAGGCCACCTCCCACATGTGCCATGGATAGTTGGCCACATGTGCCATGTGGTACGTCTAGATCACTTGTTGGGCATATTTAGAACTGCTCTCGCCGTACAGGTAGCCACTCCTATATGTACAAGTACCTCACCATACCGCTCTCACCGTACAGGTAGCCCCCTCACTGCACAGCAGCCGCTCACACAAGTCGCTTCTCCCCACCATGGCGCTGCTTTTCCGACCTCCTCTCCTGCCAGCCTCCACAGCGTCACGCCCATGTCCTCTCCCCACCACGGCCTCGCGCCGCCCCGCCATGGTCTTGCCCCACAACCAACGCCGTCGGTATCACATAGATTGACGTGCCGCCCCGCCATGGTCTCGCCCCGCAACCAACTCCGTCGGTATCACAGAGATCGATGTTGTTGCCGGCATCCATCCTCGACGACGACGACCTGGCATGGCTCCAGGCCAAGGCGGTTGCCAAGGCGAAGAATCTCTGCCTGGCCACCTGGAAGGGCGTGCAGCTGGCGGCCAAGTTGCCATCCAAGCACACTCCACCTGTGGTCTGCCTGCGGGTCGTATTGTGGCTGAAGATACTAAAGATACCTCGTTTTGATTTTGAAGAAGTTAAAGCCACTTCTTTCCTGGATGTTCGGAAGATACTGTCATACTCGAATCGGATGCCTATATGGTGGTCTCCGTAGTCCTAGACACGGGCCCAAACTTGTCCATACTCCATGCTATCTACAAGGAAATTAAAGTAAATGGTTGCACTTTGATCCCCTGGTCAGTAGCCAAGACAAGGAGAGAACAAAATCATGCTGCTCACATTGTAGATGTTGGTCTTATTACAAATACGGGAGCAGTGGATGTTGGCTGTTAAAACTCCCATGAGTTGCATCGCAATCATGTACTATTATATCCAGTAGAGTGTAAAAAATATTAATTCTACACCTGGACTTACTGTAACAAGCAGCAACACATCGACGTTATATCTTTCCTGTTAAGTTTTGCATGCTAAGCATTTAGAAAGTTGGCATATGCCAAAAAAAAGCTTCCCGTTTCCCCTGGTATATTCTTCATCCCTACTAAAATGGATAAAATAAAGGACTGATACTACAGATGTAGGCATTCTTCATCTCTACTAAAATATATTCTTCATCATGTGGTTATCCACCTGTAATAAATCACCCCTGCATACCTACCAGATTTTCTTCTGTCACAAGTCACAATTCATAAGCAGTCTTACTTCTTAGGCGAGCTCTGTATTTTACTATTCTCTTTATCTTCATTTTTTCTTGACTCGGCACATTTACTTTTTTCGGTTATACCTTTGTACTACACTGAATGTAGGAAATATAAAGTAGATGAATGATGTGTTTATTCCTGTGTATACTATGTGACCTTCAATTATGTTTGCTTTCAGGAGTAAGAAGTCAGTTGGAGTGGAAGTGAGAATAGTACCATGAGCTCAAGTGATTCATTCACGAAGCTGGTAAATGCATAAACTTTAAAAAGATCATCTCAACAAGGTATGCAAGTAATTTCTTTTGGGTGTTTGAATTGCCACATCTTGGGTTTTGTTTTCAGTCCATTATATATTCTAGGGACAAGCTTCATCTCATTTCTTAGACCAAATAATATTTAACTACAGGATCAGATTCATGTAAAGTAATTTGCAATGTTTATTCGATTTTGTGCATGACAAAGGGAAAGTAGAATTTTTTTCTGTATGCACTTAGCAAGATTAAAGTAACAGGCACAAAGTGAATCAAGTGTCTTCAACAAGCAATTTAAAAGTGAAAGTAGATAAAAAAAACTTACTGATCCACATAGAAGAGTGTTGAGTATTGAAATTTGATTTGCCGCATTGCAATGGTCCGTTATGGTCCTGCAGTAATATGTGTATGACAGCAAAAGAATCTTCAAATCAGTATGTACATTAACTTATCCATTATAATTCGATATAGTATATGAGATAACTTGAACAACTCTAGAAACCAGTGTGAAAAAAATATAATAGCCAAATCGCATTATAATACTATTACGTGTGGATTTTCATGTGCACATTCCCAGACGCTACAAACTTGATAAGAGCCGAAAGCAAGGAAAAGCATATCACAGTTGCAATGACCGCTAGGAGAAGTCTCTCCACATCCGCGTGTTGAGAGACTTGAGCTATTAATTTTGCAGGCACTCCACACAAGCACATGCATGTTAAGTGAGGGTATACGTTATCATTTTGGGTATGATCGAATGGAAATACCTGTTCATGTCATCCTCTGATCCACTCATCCAAATCATCCTGCAAAGCTCATGCATAATGGTTTAAGAAATAAAGTATAGATGCTCAAAGGACAAGATTGATAGCTAACAAATAGTTGATGCTTACAATTGGCCTATGGTCTCCTCCTCCAACATGTGTTTCCTGTTTGAGCGTTGTGAAAGGTCAGGAGGTCCAGGCAGGTCAAGGCGATGGCCACCTTTGACTTTGGAAATGCAAACCCCCTCTCGTGGCCATCTCCACAACATCATCCAACATATTGACGTTTAGCTGACCGAAAGGAACTATACATATTTAGCTAGGAAATCTAGGAACAACAAAATAGACCGGTCGACATGTCTGATTAAGGATAAAGAATGCACTAACTTTCAAACTTTTTTATGCTATATTGCCTGACCACATATATTGTCAACACGGAAATTCTGGTTTCTGAAATTAGTTTCCTTGCTCAGTAGAACACTTATTATGAAATTTGTTTGTTCCCCATACACACATATGGAATGGCAGCTCCCTGACACGAAATGAACATTGTCTGATGGCAAGAAAGTTTGAAATAGCGCGTGTGGGGGTAGCAAGATTGATTAGAATGCACCATTTACAACCACAACAGCAGTGCTTCAAAAAGTGGGATGCGGCAAGCTAGCCCCCTGGGCATTCATTGTGGCCCCAAAACAATCTGTTATGTTGTATTCCATATACCATATTTTACAGTTGTCTATTTTCTCATCATCGTCAAGCAAAATTAATTAGAATGTACCCATTCGAGCCAGCGTGGCAATACTTCAACAAGCCAGATGGACCATGTGACCCTGGTTATGCATCGTTCGCCCCTGTACATGGTCGTCACCAGGCATTGTGGCAGCAACCACCACCATCAAAACAGCAGTTGACTTATAACAGTGAGGTTGGACCTCATGAGGTAAAAACATTGATGAAGCTTATGATATTCTACTATCTCCTCTATTGACCTGTAGCTCTGTAGCCCTGGAACGGACCATCTTCACTTGTTAAAAATTACTTGCAAGATACATATTCTTAGTAGTAATTCTCTCACATGTGCTGTCATGGTTGATGGATCCAACTTGACATGTTCTGTGCAATTTTGCATTATGTGTTCTGAAAGTAAAAGATGAAAAAAACCTACGGGCACCAAGTTTAAAAATATGTAATCAGTAAGCCTAAAAGCAACTAAACTGTTATATTAAATTCATTATTTGAGTTCATTGGAATATACTCCCTCTGTCCCATAATGTAAGATGTTATAGTATATTGGATGTAATAACGTCTTACATTATGGGATGGAGGGAGTAATAAGTAGCAAAGATGAAATTATGTATTTCTGCTATGCTGTGATGGGCTACTTTT